TTTCACTTATCCGATATTTTTTAGTTAAGCGACTCTCAATTACTGAATTATGAACGTATATTTTAGTTAGAACAGCAATATACATTTTAATTTTCATGCCTTTTTAGGACGGAAAGATCATTTATGTAATGTTTTTATTTATTTCTCATTCGAGATGAGCTAGATTATCGAAGTTACAATGAAGAGGAAAGCCATCAAGATACAACATTCCTTTTTCATAATCGAGAAATTATTAAAATTTTATTAGGTTTTATAATGTTTTCTGAGCAAGGATCGGTTATAGTAAAAAAAAATTACGATGAAAATAAGCGAATATCGATTTCTTGTCTTTGAAGACCCTATCTATAATCGTATGGGCGACATTTTTGTAAGGACGAACAATGTTTTTACAGAAATATTACTCATTCGATTTGACTGCAGATATTTCATGTTAAAAATAACAAGCAAGAGCAGCAAACAAAGATATAACCTTTTTCCTTCTTGAACTTTAGAGCAAAATATTCATCGCGCCAACACTTTACCAATGGCGAATTTGTCCCAGTGTATTCCGTGCTCTGTTATGTTAGTCAGCAACGTGGGAAATTTTGCCGAAGTAGTATTAAGATTAGAAAGAGCGCCCACGCTTGGGGTATTGGAATATTCGGAAAAATCCGAATAAAAGTTTTTGACATTAGTATTTGTTGTAAGTATAAAATCGTGTTGGAAAATATTAGCGGTATAGGTGCACCTTTGCGGTATAGGTCCATCGGAAGTCGAGGCACTATAATATAATTTCTAATAGTATTAAACAACTCATATTCTACACAAATTTGCGATCAACATTTTTTTAAAATTTCCCTGTATTATTGATATTCAAAACACAATAGGGAGACTGAGGCACCTTCGGCACTTTTTGTTTAGAGCTTTATATCTCAGTACTTATTCAACAGATATAAAAACTTTATGGCTGATTATTATCCTCTGATACTTATAAAAACTAGTACCGAAAACATAAAATAAATTAGTATTAGTTAAACATTTTTACAGTTTATTAAAAAATCAAATTCGCCGAATGTGCCCCTACCCGGGGTAGCTTCGGTATGTGATGGGGCACATTCGGCAACATAGTCATAGCCTGTTAAATATCACCGCTATCAGTGTGGTTGAAATTGAGGTCCTCTAAATGTTCAATTTTGTTTTAATATGCGACTCAAAGTTTGACTTTTAAGGCTATATTTTCTAGCGGCGGGCGTTGACATCTCAAGGTCACACATAGCTTTTTTCTATCGCATTTTCGTCAATGCAAGCACGTTTGGTCTTATATAATTAATTTCAAACCACATTAAAGGATTATTTTTAAAGACAAACTCAAAAACATTATAAGGAAATAATATTGCACTATGTGTGTATGGCCGAAGGTATTTTTATAGTTTTTTATTTATTTCTATCAATATACTAAAAATATTATTTTTATAAGAATACTGCCTTAAAAATTTAAATGTTTTATACACGAAATACTTACAAAATGGAAATATTACAAAAACATCTGTAACCAGTAAGGAAAGTAGTAAAGTCGGACTGGGCCGACTATATGATACCCTTCACTACTTTGGGTATATTCTACATATGTATCCCAAAAGACGTCGCCTTTTTGAAGGAATATCTGAACCGATTTCAAGCAAACCTGCCAGATATTAATTTATATTAACTTCAGTACGTTGTGTCAATCGGCCTAGCTATAGATCTTTAGTGCACAATTTACATAAAATCGGACGAAAATATATGTAGGAGGTGTACACATCATTCTAGACTTAATTCAATACGCTATGCCAAAAAATTCGTGCAAATCAAATGATTTTCAGGGACTTTGGTCCACCATTTACATAAAATCGGTCGAAACTATATATGGAAGCTATATCTAAATCTGAACAGATTTTCACGAAACTTAGCTCACATCATTCTAGACCTAATTCAGTAGGCTATACTAAATTTCGTGAAAATCGAAAGATATATAGAGACTTTGGTACACCATTAACCTAAAATCGAGCGAAGCTAAATATGGGAGCTATATCGAAATCTGAAACGATTTTCACGAACCTTATCACACGTCATTCTAGACTTATTACAATACGCTATGCCAAAATTCGTGCAAATCAAATGATTTTCAGGGACCTAAAATCGGGCGAAAATATATATGTGAGCTATATCTAAATCGGAACCGATTTTCACGAAACTTAATACACGTCATTATAGACCTTATTCAATACGCTATGCCAAGGTTCGTACAAATCAAATGATTTTCAGGGACTTTGGTACACCATTTACCTAAAATCGGGCGAAACTATATATAGGAGCTATATCTAAATCTGAACCGAACTTAGCACACATCATTCTAGACCTAATTTAGTAGGCTATACCACATTTCGTGCAAATCGAAAGATATATAAGGACTTTGGTACACCATTTTCCTAAAATCGGGCGAAACTATATATGGGAGCTATATCTAAATCTGAACCGATTTTCAGGAAACTTAGCACACGTCATTCTAAACTTAATTCAATACACTATGTAAAAATTCGTGCAAATCAAATGATTTTCAGGGACTTTGGTGCACCATTTACCTTAAATCGGACGAAAATATATATGGGAGCTATATCTAAATCTGAACCGATTTTTCCCAATTTCAATGGGGTTCGTCCTTGGGCCAAATAAGTGAGCTGTGCCGAATTTCATCCAAATCGGATCATAAATGCGACCTGTACTTTGTTTACAATTTAACAGCAACAGACGGACGGACGGACATGCATAAACCGACTCAGAAAGTGGTTCTATGCATATTCTCAAAAGGGACCATGGGTCTATCTCGATTCCTTTTGCCTGTTACGAACATATGCCCAAAGACATAATACCCTGTACCACAGTGTGGTGAAGGGTGTACATATAGAAAAAACCGTGCATCTAAATATGTTTATTGGCTAGAGATATCAAACTTTGCGACAGTTAGTGATGCACGGTGAGAGCTTCATATCGAAAACGCGATGCCGAAGTTGCCCCAGTCTCTCCTATACAGTTTTTTACTATGTAGTTGTACTTCAATTCTGCACGATTATTATTCTGATTGTTTCGATAAACTAAATTTTTACTCACATTTTCCAATTTATTGTTGTAATTGAAACACAATTGTTGTTAGATTTTTTATGACTAGTTGTTAGATAATTACAATGCAATTTTTATTTATTTCTTTGTTTGGAAATTAGAAAACAGTACTCCTAGTTATTGTACACGGTTTTTGTTTTTTAATTATTTATTTTTAATTTAAAATATTTGTTTATGCCGATAGATTTTGTGTGGTCTATCTTTTTTGTCTATGGTAGATATTTTATATATGTATATGTTTCTATTTATATATGTATGAATGTATATCTTAAGTACACTTGCTTTCAAAAAGTATGTGGTAAGTAAAAGTCTGCATTAAAAAATTAACTTAATTTTTGTTTTGTATATATAAAATATTAATAAATGTCGTTTTTTATATAATAAAAATAAATGTTAATGAAGTAAATTAAAAATAAAAGTAAAAATAATAATAATAATAATAATAATAATAACGATTGTAACAAAAAAATCTTATATTCTTTAAATTGACTATTTGTATGTAATTTTTCATTATTATATTTTTGTTTTTACAAAAAAATTGCTTTCATTTAAGAGTTATTCTTCTGCAGAAGTTTAAGCCGATAAGTGCTATTGCAAATAATTTAATAGCCAATATTTATTTTATTTTATTCAGAAATTTCCTCGAAATCCAAAATTGACGTTCTTATTGTCATTGCAATAATTTTCTATGAATGTTATAATCATTTTATCTGCATTTTATTTACATGGACTGCCATTTAATTTACTTATATTTTCATGTTGAAAACAGATTTGCTCAATATTATAAGCAGGATTTATTGATTTAACTTTTGGAAGACTGTGCTTGTTGTGTGTGTGTGGGTGATTGCCTTTTTTAAATTAATATATGCTCTGTTTAATTGCTAAGCCATTAACTGGTTACTAAGGAATTCATCTTTCAGATAATAAGGACATATTTACATTGGAAATTTTCAATTGTTTAAATAATAAAACAATATTTATATAATATTGAAAAAAGAAAACAAATAATAATATTAAAATAAAAAAAGAAATAAAGAATTCATGCAAACACAGTGTGCGTCATCATTAAACAATCATTTATATACAAAGTTGATTGTTATGACAGTTACAGTATAGCTGAATACATATTTGCTAGTTATCTGTTGGTGTTGAGAGAACTAAACTTGAATAAATACTTCAAAATTCGAACTTTTCCCGTGTTGCCAGATGCATGCCAGAATGGAAACTTCTTCGACATCTATCCTCAAAATAGTATACAGTGGAGACCATAACTTATGCAGGCATTTGAAAGTGAACATTTTCAAGACAACTTAAAGCCTCTCTAAGCCAAATCAAACAACATATAACTGTAAATTCCAACGATATCCAACGGAATTGTAATTGCTTTTTACTTTGGCGTGGAATCAAATAATAAGGTTATTTATTGCAAGCAATTACACCATGCAACACTAAATGTTGAAAGTACATCAACGACAAGTACAATCCTATTTGTTGATTTGGCGGAAGGTTTTATTGCAGTTTCCGCTTTAATTGTACACACATGAGGCAGAATAATTGTACGAAGTTGCCCGAAATTGTTGTTGGAAGTTCGTCGCCTTTCAAATAATTCTTTTAATGCTGTTAACAATGCATTAGAATGAGGTGACATTTTCTTCATTGAGATGGACTGGAGAGTTTTCCGCACTGGTAATTTAAACACCACCACAATTATGTCATTGAATCCGTTACGACATTGAATGGAGAAAATAAAATTAACCCTTTAAAGTTTAAAATGCAAATATTTTCATAGTAAAAGGAAACGTGTCATGTAGAATAACTATTATGAGGTCCTGCCGAAATGACTGCTTGAAAATATATATGAACTACTAGCTGGAGTTGGGGCCATTATTGTCGTCACGATTGCTGATTTTGTATTTGTTGTTGTTGCTGCTGCAGCTACTATAATTAGTACAAATTGTATTGGATTTATTTTGCGTAGATTGTGAAAAAGTGGCAACATTTTTTTGACAACGTATATCGCCGGTGTTTTCTGCTGCTGAGACATTTGTATTTGTCGTTATTGTCTTTGTTGTTGCTGTTGTTGTTGTACTATCGGTTTTATCCGATGAACTATTATTGTTGCTGCTGCTGTTGCTGCTGCTATTGGTATTGATTTCATCGCTGCCGCTCAATGTTGCTGACTTTGGTTGATAACTGTTGGCAGCATTCTCTGCCATGGCTGAATTAGGCGGTGTGATTCCAGCTGCCGTTTGCAAGGCAAGCATTTGTTGTGCTTGTGCAACACATGCTACACAGGGACATGGGCCGCCAAGTTTTTTCGCCAGCATTGAACGTAGCTTTAGTGCTGGTCCCAATTTCATGCCCAGTGAATTGACCAGATGATCTTCCGTTAGTAGTGGTAGCCCAGATCCATCAATACATTGATCGCGAAAATGCTGAAATGAGTGCATAGAGAACAGAAATGTTAATTACTACACGTCCACATGCCAGTGGCAATATAGAGCAAGAAATACAAATTAAATGAATTGCTAAAATTATCTATTTGTTTAAAAAATACGAGGATCGATAAAAGTTTTTGACAAAATATTAACTCCAGGCTCGTATCTATAAGAACCGAAAGGCAATTGCACAATTCGATTGGAAATTTTGGTTAAGACTGACAATGAATCTATATTCAAAAATGCTAGCGAGGAGGTAACTGATTTTAACTCAAAATACCATACAATTGAAGTTAAGTTTAGAAGAAACATAAATTCCAATTTTCTCTCAGTTCCGTCGAAAAAATGGTGCTGTAACCTTCAAAATACCCTAAATTGCAGGATACGATTATATGAAAACATTTGCATTGACCCATGAAGTACCCTAACTATTAAATTACAGTTGGTTTTGATCTTATGTGGGACTATACCAAATCCTATGTTACAGAATAATACAATTCGTATGGCATATATTGTTACGGGGGTCCAGTATCCAGTCGCGAAAATACAAAATGGCGGGTTGTTTTGCGTAAATTTCGCATATATTGCTAAATAATGTTATCCATTTCGCTGTTTCAAAAATATAGAAATGGAAATCGACATCTGTAGTTAAACCATTTTTTATGTATATGGCACCAGCCTTTTAAAAGAACGACAATACCACAGCTATCTCAATAAATTTCTATACATTTTGAATTGTTCGATCTTTATGCTAAAACTAAGTTCTATTCAAAAATATTTATATATTAATAAAATATTTAAGTTTAAAAATTAAATTTAAGACATTTGAGGGGACCCCCACCCCATTCACGGGTCCAATTTTTTTTTTTTTTGAATTAATTCGAATCTACACTAATTCAAGAATGTCCCTACAAAATTTCAAGTGAACATCTCAAGAACTCTTGGAGACATAGCCGATTTATTGTGTCATCATCAAGTGACGGCTTCTCAAACTTTAAACGCGTTTTTCTCTTTTGCGAATGGCGGGCACGATAACTCAAAAATTAATAACCCAATCGATTCCAAATTTTTATATGTTCCTCTGTGAGTGTATAGCTATAGTATGAACTAGGATAAATCCAATCGGTGAAGATCTTTCTTTATTTTTAACATAGTTTGTGGTCAAAAATCGGCGATTTTCCAGTAGTACAAAATGAAAAAATTCGCTGTAGCAAACATAAATTTACTGTGGAAAAAATCATTTCGGGGGGAGCCCGGGCCTCCCCCTGCGTACGTCCATGCTGCATGTAATATAATATATTAATTATAATATGTAATTTTTTAAAAAATTTATTTAATCAGTCATTTTTCCCAAATGTTCACTAAATATAACCATCTTAAACATTTTATCATGTTGTTCGTGGGTTGGCACTTTGTTTTGCCTGGGTCACTAGCCAAGGTGTTTGAATTGACCACTCATTGTGTGTGTGGTTGATATTGCTGTTTACTGAATGCCATTTGCTGGAAGTGCATGTCTAACTTTCACGGCCACTTAAAAAAAAGACCTGAACTTGTTAAAATGCATTCAACGATTACTTTGATCTGAGGATGTGTACACTATACTAGAGCGAATACAGTCTACCTACCCACCTGCTGGTTGCAATATAAAGGCTGATTTCAACCGATCCACACAACACTCGAAAGCTAAAGAAAAATAACTAAAAAGCGATGTATATTAGCTAAACGAAACATAGGTTGGATTTTATGAATTTTGGAAAATTAATTTCTTAAATTCTATGAATTTAGGAAAATTAACGCTGTAGGATTTAACACCAATTATTGGTATGAGATTTAAAGAACGGACAAAATTATTAAATTATGTTAAATGTACTCAAAAAATGGAAGGTAACTGTCAAAAAATACTTTATATATTTATAAACATTTTATTAACCAGTATTATCTGTTTTTTACATATATTTGTTATACCTTATATAGATGTGGTTGCAATTTATTATTAAAGAATTTATATTTACAAAAAAAAATAAATAAAAAAATGAAAAAACTATTAAATTTACAAAATACAAAAATCCACTTATCATTGTTAAATTATAAACCTATACTATCAGAGTTAAACGATATTCAAAAATCTGCACTAAAAATATATATTATAGTATCGCAAATTGAGCTTTGAAGTATAAAACCATGATAATGTCATCATCCGATACCATTGAATATAACCGTGTTTTTAATTCTCCAACATAGAATGCGAAATTTATCTAATATATATATATATATATATATATAGAGAGAGCATCTACATATAGTATAATTTGTTCAACAAATGAATTTTCTAAATTAATTGATTTTTATTTTTCGCCAAACCTATTATTATTTGTTAACCTCCCTAATACATTTTCAACAATACATTCAAGACAAAGGCTTCTGTAATTGTTGCATACTGCATGCATGTGTGTGTGTCTCTGTATGTGAGTTGTGGCATGCTGTTATGCCATAGATGTTGTACTTTGTTCATAGCGTTTGATTTTGATCGCGTGCTCTTTACAATATACTCCAATCGGTCTCGTCCAACGTTAAGACTTCTAAGGCGTATAGAGCACGCGCGCAACTTCTTTTTGTGCTAAAAAAACATGTTTGAAGAACATTAAACGAGTTATTTTCATTCTCAATGGAAATGTGGATACAATGCCTACGATGGAAAACCTCCACAGCGAATTTCCGAACCAAACAAAGAAATGGGAAATCGGCGATGATCTGGTTTTATAGCTTGCTGTCGTCTTGGCCATAATTGACAGTGTTGGTGGCTGAAAATGGCAAGAGCAATAGACTTTCGTTGAAAACTGAGAGAAATTTTGCCATGATTATCCACAAGAAGAAGAAGAAGAAGAAGAAGGAGTTCAAGAAAAAAAATCATATTTGACCGAATATGGTAATAAATACTTGTTGAAGATATTTGGCCAATAAACGAATGCCGGTGGTGATCGCAATTCAAGGACTGCGTAACATTTAATATGCAAACGTAGATATTTTAATGAGGTTGAGTCTAAGTGAACATTTCAATGCAGGCACACACATACTAGGATTTTCGCTTACAATGGATAGATCTTTAAGGGGCTATAGTGGAGATTTTGAAGAAACACAAAAATTGTAGACTGTCCAACATCACATGAACTTGGAAAACGAAATAATTGATTTGAACCTACTCAAATATACATATATTATGGCATTTTATAATTATAATTATGGCATTTTATTTATTCCAACCAACGTTCAAACCTTCGAAAATTCTCGTATGACAACTAGACCAATGGCAAAACACATTCATTATTCCGAAAAAACTGGTCTATTACGAAAAGTGGACATATTTGAAATTTTTTTATAATACCCCTCCAGGCCTTCCCCACAAATTAACAATAATTTATTAAAAATTTATATTTTGCTCAAATTTAGATAAAATTCGATGGTGGGGACTATTTTCGCAAGTCTCCTCTACATATTGTCAGAGAAAAAGCGAAATGGGTCATCGATTTAATTCAGAATATATACTCATAAGCTGTCACAAAACGGCGTAATATTTTTCAACCATTTTTTTTAAGGATTACGTATCCTTTCTCATTACTTAACAAAACGTTTCCTAAATGATCGAATTTTTGTGTTATTTCGACTATTGCAATAATCAAAATAAGAAATATCGGCGAAAAGTTATGTCTTTCTGTCAAAATTTTTTTTTCGACAAATTTTATATTTGTCCTCTATTCGAATACCAAACATCCTTGCATTTTATTGTCTCCAGTCAGTTGAAAACCAAAGACAAAGTTGTCCATTGCCATACGATTGAAGGATATTTGTATGTGTTTTATGGCTATTCAAGTGTTTTGTTTGTCCTGTTTGGATGGCCGGCTGGTTGATCATAACTGCCAGTATTAAGTATGAAATTGCTTTGGGTTAGACGCCAAAGATACAATTTTAGATTGTGCGGCCAGTGATGGTTGGGCACATGCGCACAACGAGCACTAAATGTTTGTATATGAGTGTGACCAGCGAACTGGTCGGACGGACATTTGTACTCCCGGGCTTCGGTTTGCTGCAGTACAGCAGCAACTAGAAGACAACAATTGCAACAGGTCACATTGTTCGGTGCTACTCTTTAGACTTTGATAATATCAACAGTGGGCGGTTATGTTGCCACATAGCATCTACTGGGTAATAGTACTGGCATGTACCGAACGGCTTCCCGGCGGCTGTAGAGTGTGCAGAATATTCATCAGAGGCTGTGTTAATGTTAATGGATACCACTTTTGCTTCTGAGGTTGATACTTTGGCTGTAGCCGTTGCCGGTTACCAGTTCCTGGTGTTTCGAATGCCGGTGGTGTACCACTTAATAAGTAATATCGTTTTTGTTGTTGCTGTTGTTATTGTTGATGATGTTTTTTTGTTTCTTACTTCAGCTACTGCTTCGGATGCCCGGTGATCGGTGTTGTTGCTGTTTTTGTTGTTTGGTGCTGCTGATCTGCACGAGGACGAGAAATATGATGGTGCTGGTACCATGACGCTAGTGCCTATAGTGATCTTGTTGATTTCATTTGTTGTACTTGGCCTATGTAGGAACTTGGGGAAGAATAACAGTAACAGCCGCATACACACACACTCTAAGCATTTACATTGTGATTGTGTAGCTTTGCCAGGGGAAGTAAACAACAGCAATCATGGCATGTTGTTCTCCATGAAAACAACATCGACTAGAACCCAAGGAGATGTATTAAAAACGACCGACGGTGGAATGAAAGAACGACCAACCGGTCCTGAAAACCACCACTACCTCTACTTTGTCCCAGCGACCTGACAACACCGTCATACCATGACTTTAACGTAAAGTTCAGCTTGGCATTTGACTTTCGGTTGACTTTTAGCTTCGAGGCATTTCATTTTCCCCGTTCCCGTTGCTGGCTATCTGGCTGGCTGGTTAGCTGACTGGTTGGTCTCTTCAGTTGGCGTTTTTG